GCAACATTTGTGGTTACTTTGATCTAGTAAGCAACATGTTGCCAGAAATAGAAAGATGTTCTATTTCTGGCAACATGTTGCTTACAAGATCAAAGTATCCACAAATGTTGCTAGCAACATATTGCCTAGTGTATGCCTGGCTTAATATTATTTTTATATATTTATCTATTTATTATTATTATTATGTTTATTAGGTTAAAAGAGAAGCTGATCGAATGGCAATGGGTGTATGCACAAATACTTCAGAGGTATGTGTAGTTATTATTATTATTGTTGTTGTTGTTGTTCAGTGTTGTCATTATTTTATTATTATTTCTAGTGTTCTGTGACCTGTGGTGGTGGTTGTATGATCCAGTACTGCAGGTGTGAGGATCAGGCTGGTACTGCTTTAGCACTCTGTGGTAGTCAGCCTTGTTGCAGCAATTTTAATGATTTTCGAACTGGAAATAATCCACTTTCCTGTATACAGTGTAACATGAATCCATGTCCTGGTAAGTACCTGTTGCTATAGGGATAGGCAAATAGTTCTAGCATAATTTGAGGCATAATAGAGCAAGCTATCATGCTGGCATAATGGGTCAAAAATTTCTGGCTGACCACACATGATTTTAAGTACTAATAAAACCAACCGCTTAATACTCACCTCCTCAAGCCATGCAAGTGTGGTGAGTCCAATGGCTCAGGCTGTACTATTTTCCAGTGACTCAAAGTCTGGAAACATTTTATAATATTGCAATTATAACAGGTTCATGTACATGTAACTTGATAATTGATATTTGAGTAAAGCTTAAACTATGAGCATAATAATGAGCATAATTGGATTTATTTCAAAGCATAGTAGGCAAACATTGAAGCATAATTTGCCTACCCCTATCTGTTGCTGTTGACATTATTAATTAATTGTTATTATCACTGCTGTTTTATTAGGTGGACCTGCCTCTGTTAGGGAGTTCATTCCTCATACAAGGACATTAAATATTGTTGATGGTGTCACTGGAATGATAACTGTTACTACTACAAGTGACACTGCTATGATTAGTATCACTATTCAAGTACCTGATCCAACTAGCTATTCTACGACCTTTAATACTACACGAACAGCTACTCAGTCATCCTTTAGTGCTACACAGAGCTTCCCTGCTCCTAATTATGAAATTTCTAACGGGATGGTTAGGATCAATGGCCAGCCATTGATAACACCCGGTTCTTTCTTAGCCGTTAGAACAATACCTTCCACTGGTAGCTTCAGCTACATGGGGACAGCAGGAATCTATCAGTTAGGAACTGGATCTGGTGTAGCCACTTTTAGCGGATACATGCCCTATTATTATATATCACCTTTTGGACATGTCTATACGTATTCTGGTTCTAAAGCAGTGCGAGATAAAGCACCAGGTAAAGTTTTTGTTAGATTGAACAACGTGCGGAATGAACGGCTAATCATAACATCAGAGAATTCATTCATTACTGAGCAGTTAAGTAAACTATCTGGTGCTCCAATGACCATAGAGCCTGTTGGAAGTGGAGGAGCTATTGGTTTCAACTTTGGAACTGGTACCAATGCTTTCATGATAACATCATCAACCAATGTCAGGACGACTGTATCCCCAACCACCTATACTGGAACAACACTCATGGTTGGTAGCACCACTTTTAATAACATTGACAATGTCCTCCTAGCTGGGGAAGGTTTTGAAGAGTACAATGCTGCCATGAATGAAGCAACCGCTTTTGTATCTTACGACTCCTTCTTTATCAATGGTCGTAATGCTGTCTTCTCAACGAGCCCAAGACTCACTGCTATGATTAGAGAGGGTCGCATGTTTCTGGCTGATGGTGGAACATCTCAAGCTGCTTACACAGTCGAAGGCAATAGAGTGAAGTATGGTGGTGTGACTGTGTTCACTATTAATGCTGGTTTTACAACTTCTGATATTACTGGACCTGGATTACTTTCATACAATGGTCAAACCTTTTCAGGCAGTGCAACTAATACTGGCATTGAGTCCTTTGCTTATAGTGTTGAAAACACTATTGGTATAGCCTTTAATGGAGGTGCAACAGTGTCTTATGGTCCTGGTACTGTCAAACTATATGTATCTGGATCTGAGGCCTTAGCTACCAACTTACAATCATTAATTGATAACATTACAGCTGCAACAATGCCTACAACAATACCAGGATCATCAGCTGTATACACCACAGTCCTTGGGCAAGGTAATACCGGTATACTTCAATTGAATGGGCAGAATGTAGTTGAATTCACTGGATCAGCTATGAGCATGACATTGAATAATGGAGATTCTGTGAGCTACAGTGGGGGAACCATTAGTTTTACTCCTGCCAATTCACGCGGTCCATTCACTGGTATATCCATGTTTACTTATGCTCCTAATGGTCAGAATATAGTACAGTATAATGCTATAGCTAATCAGAACTTTACTGTTGACTCAAGCTACCAAATAGTCATTGATAATAATGGTAATGCACTCCTAACTAATGATGGTACAGTGAGAGGATTGCTATCCAACCCGCAGTTTGGGGTGACCTTTAGCAACAGAGATGCTCAAGGTAACTTCTTCCTAATGATAGGAGGCAGCAATATAGAGAGGTTGGGCAGGAACACAGCACGTCATGAGGTACCCACTGGAGGTACTGTGAGATTACTGGGAACCTCCTTTGGTGGCGTCTTGAACGGCAACGCCATATTCCCTGGAGTCACTGCAAGCTCTGTACAAACTTATTACTCTGGTCAAACTATTCCAACCACCAGAACAGGGACACCCACTCCTTATATTGAAACTGCCACGACTACATTTTACGTCTACATAACTCCAGGTTCTGGAGGTACTTCTTCAGTCTTCATCACTGATAGAGCCAC